TTTGTCACCCCTCTCTGGACCTTCTCTTAACTGTATAGTCCTTTACAACTGAAGGTCTCCCTGCGTGTATAGCGTATTCTAGATGAGACGGCGCGAGAGTACCAGGTATTTTAGAAAAGCAGTCAGTTTCAGATCCCATAAAGATTCGCCTAATTAATTTCAAAAGAATTATAGTCGATTTAGCTGCCTTCGTGCAGCGCAGTGTTACTGTGAGTGATGATATAATCCACGCACCCAAGTCCTTCTGACTGTCGACTTGTTTCAGTGGTGTACCTTGAAGAAGGTAAGTTCTGGGGCTGGAGGCTCTGCAGCTGTCAATAATAATTGCTTGATATATCTACTCTACATGGTTCACAGGAATTGAAACAATTACTATCCGTCAAATTAAGCATATGGGGTTAGAGCGCTCAAAGTTCTAAATGCTACTGACTTATTTTCATATTCAAGTTTCATGCAGTGGTAGAATAAAATCGGACAGCGGTACAATTACCAGCCCCGGATATCCGAATGATTACCCGCCAAACAGAGAATGCATTTGGAGGATACAAGTCCCTGCTGGTTTTAGCATTGCTCTTACATTCAAAACTTTCGAGGTAAGTGCTATTGTGATTAATAAAGGCAGTGATGCATTAAAACCACATTTTTTCACATAAATGTAATACCATTATCAGTCATTTGTCATGAGACAGGATGCAGTAGGCGGTAGGTAAGACGGTAGCATTCCTGGGTTGCATAACCTGGTAGTCGGTTGTTATGTTACACTGATGTTGCTGGCAATGGTTTCCTAATCCTGGTAGGCGTTAGATTATATGGGTTCAGCGTGATGTGAGGGACAACGGACGACAGCGTTCAGATCGCCCATCACTGGGGATAACTGCCGGAATGCCTAAAAAATCCAATCGAATTCGTTTTTCAGTTCGTTTTATGTAGGTTATCAGAAGTACTAACTAGTATTAAGCGTCATTCGGTTTAGAACATAAATTCCAATAAGGAAGCAGAAATTATTATTTTCGCAGGTTTTCTCTGACTAGTCATGCATTATTCCAAATGCATTAGGCACATGTAGATCAAAGTGCCTTTGAATTAACTGCATTCCGAATTCGCGTTTGCATTCGGCAATGCTCGGAGTACGACACCCGACACCAGTGTACAAGTTCTAACGAGGACAAAAATCAAATGTAATGTTGAATTGACGGATTATAAGCGTTCTTACGCACATAACCGAGAACAATTTTCCGGCTCCGCTGATATTAGTTTCTTACAGTTGGTCTTTATGTCTCTTAGCTTGAGGACAGTTGGGGATGCTCAAACGATTATGTAGAAATCTATGATGGGCTTACGGCGAATTCACCAAGACTCCGAAGGTTATGTGGGTCTACTGTACCAAAGCCCGTATGGTCAACGAATAACACGTTGATCCTGCGTTTCCTCAGTGACGACAGGGTTCAAGGTCAAGGATTTGAAATTAATTTTGAGAAGGGTAAGTGCTTATACTGTGCATTAAACCAGCATTGAAAACTGGTAGAAAATTAAGCAAAAAATTGCAACGAATGTAACTATAATACTAACCCGACCACTCATGACATTCCCACGGGTATTCTGTTCAGTAACGGGTAATTCGACGTTTGCTGTTATTGAGAGGATCGCGGCCTGCGATTCAAATGCTAAAAAAGGCACAGCAAATAAGATTTTTGTGTTGTATTAAAAAAACCTTAACCAAGTGTCTTGCTTTCCAACATCACCCATGGGGTCACAGTATGGTTGTAAATCGCCTTAAAGTCCCATGTCACATCTGACGGCAAAAGTTAACCTTCATCCCTTAACATGACAGTGCGTTAAAAATGAAAATTTCTGAGTCACTTGCGATATATACGGTTCTAATGATTAAACGAAAGCTGATAGTTTGAATAACTGTACATGTGCTTTAAGTAGCCATCTGCAGACTGTTCGGTTATTCATCTATCCAGCACTTAATAAACAGTATTGCTCTGTTCAATTGACCAAAAACTGTGCTTTAAATGTTATCCAAAAAATCCGGCCAGCAAAACTACCATGAAAGCTTATCATTTGTCATTTTAGTTTTCAGTTTTAGTTTTATTTTTTAGTTTTGCAACTCATAGATAGCATGGGCTTCATTAGCCACAGAAAAGCATATATGAATACATGTAACAGGTGTGCTAACTTACGAAATGCTGGCCGAGATTCTGAAATGTGTTTTTACTTCGAAAACATTACTTTCAGTGAGTGACAGATCTCATGAAATGTTGGCCGAAATTTCAAAATGCGTCTTCGATTAGAGAGGGTTTCTCGGACGCGGTATAATTCTATAATATTTTGGAGTTGGCAGAATGTCAGCCTTTCAGTACACTGCGTTTAGATATCCTGTAGAAACCTTAGTCGGTAACTACTTAAATAGCCTGCATTTTCCCGATTGATTTTCGATGGTCTTGCAAATTCATATATATTTCGGAGGGACCACGAACGAAATTGCGTCTTCTTTCAATCGTTTGATAGATAATTACGTCATCTTTTTATTCATTGTTCGATGAAAGAGTATGTTTAGGTTTTAAAAGGTTTTTTAATTCCCGAATAATTCGGGGCCCGATCAGTCGTTGCATTAGCGCTCAGTGATTTCAGTCTACCGAGTGCATGCCCTCCTCGTAAATACAACCAGAGATTTTTCTATTCCATTAAAACGATATCATACAGCGTCCACTAAACTTTGCAGTGGATGCGGACAATGTTGTACATTGCATGAAGAATTGTGGTAAACGGCCAGGTACGATGCTTAGTGAATGGACATTGCGTGGTCTTAAAGAATCTCATAATTAGAAACTTTTTAAAACCTAACTATACTGCTTTTTTGAGTATAAAGCATAAGGACTATGTGATTATCTATCAAACGACTAAAAAAGCATAATTTTATCGTGGTTACTTCAAAATATACTTGAGTTTGTGAGACTATCAAAAAGCAATAGTAAAAATGCATGATAGATAAGTAGTCATTGTTTTACCGAGTACGGTTTCTACAGGAGATTAAAATGTAATGCTCTCACAAGTTGACATCCTGCCAACTCCTAAATATTATGGGATCATACAGTAAGATAGTCAGTACTGCAACTGCGCCTAAGCAGTCCTTTCTAATCGAAAACGCATTTCAAAATTTATGCCAAGATTTTATAAGATCGGTCACGCACTGGAAGTAGGGTTATAAAATCAATCATTTGACAGCATAATTCTACAATAATTATCTCGGGATGCCAGCTTTCGAACGAACACCCTCCAGGCCGCATGCAAAACTAAACTCTTAATAAATCGACTACTATATTTGCCTAAATTATCCGCATTACTTTTCGATAATTTTAAAAATTCAAATATATTTCATGGAAAACATGCACAAACATAGTTCATCTTCCATGACTTCTTCTAATGTTATACTCTAAGAAGGGATATAATTCGGTTTTTAAAAAGTTTCTAATTGTGAGATTTCGTAATACTGTGAAATTGACGTCCATAAAGCATCGTGTCTTTGCATTTATTGATGTGGCTTATAAAGTTTACTATATGGCTGAAAGCTACTGCTAAATTTTATGAGCCACATATACTCTCCTATTAACAGCGTGGAAAAATGCTCGGTTTGCCGAACGTGGAAAATATACGTCTTATAGATTGGAAAACCTGAATTCAAGTATAACAGAAGTCGTATTCAAAATTCTTCAGGAACTGGAAAAGTTTTTAAAATCCAAATTCTACCCTTCCTTCGGGTATTTAATTGGAAGAGGAGATAGGTTTCTACCGAATGAGTAGGAGAAAAAATATTTTTATGCATGTTTTCCATGAAATACCATTGGATTTCTAAAGGCTTCAAATCAATGAAGAAAATGCAAGCTAAATAGCTAGTATTCTTTTACGTAGTATGGATTTTCTTTTCGTACAAGAGACGTTCTTTCGAAATTCGGTACCTCGATGTAACTAAATCCTTAGAGAATTATGCTGCATGATAATAAATTATACTACCCTATCGAATTAACGTGTTCTAAGCGAAAACTCATTTCAGAATTTCGGTTACCATTTTATGAGTTAGCACACCTACTGTATACAAGCAAGGTCATTTGCTTATCTCTCAATTTGCGCCCATAATTAGCAATGTATCGATCTCGCCTCCTATTACTCGTTTCATCTGAAGACGAGTCGGTGTTACCAGTTTGAAAAAAAGTTTTTTGTTAAATCCTCTTCTCCGATGATCTTTTTTTCTTCACGATATCACATGTGAGTATAAACTTCGTCCTTTATTCAAATATACGTATACGAAATACATATAGAATATATACATATGCATATACAGATATAAATATACAAAAACACATATGCATATTCATGCATTTGTTGATTGAGAAAGATGCACTCTTTTCAGTTATCCTTGTGGGAACCGACCGATGCGCAACCGTGAATCATGATTGTGAGCAGATCTGCGTAAACATACCGGGCGGCTATGAATGCCAGTGCAATGATGACTTCAAACTTCTGCCTGACAAAAAATCATGCAAATGTGAGCTTTCTCTTCTTTCTCTCCTAATGTTTCTGCTGTCCGTGGTGTGGTGTGTTTTAAATTCATAGGCATTATCCTCCAAAATCGGGAAGTTGGGATACTTTTCATCAAGTTCTGTCCGTAATTCCTGTTCCAAAACGGCCTGGTAATTGCTGATAACTAGGATTAAGTAAACATCTTGTTTTTGAGACGCAGCCTGCACGTAATAATAAGAATGAAACACGCCTTTTGTCGATATCACCACATGTCTTAAGTGATCATGATTGTGGGCCACCACCGGACCCTTCTCTGTATTGATACTAACGTGTAGAATATACTGTCTGTCTTATTGATTTATTTCCTTACAGCGACCGCTTGTGGTGGCCTTCTGAATGCGGACAATGGTGATATTTCCAGTCCTGAATTCCCCGATTGGTACCCACCAAATAGTAAATGCGTCTGGAACATTGAAGTTCCTCTTGGGTTCTCCGTTGTCCTCACATTTGAGAATTTCGAAGTAAGTGACAGTATGACCCATGCAGTCAATGCTTGTGGGACTGAATTACACGCATTCCGTTAAACAAGGGCCTATGGGCCACCAGTTGGTCGTCTTTTATATGATTAATTTCCGAAATTATTTATTTAATTGTCCTCTGGAGTTCATATACCGGAAACCGCAAAGAAAACTTTGGGGTACACACTCATGAGCCGAGCACCGAACAGATGTGTCACGCAGCGGCATGATATCGCCGAAACAAATGTATTGGCTTTTATTCAGTACCTATGTCGGAAGAATTGTATAATACGTTTGATGCTTATATAATGATAGGGAACGTTCACTGATCGTTTTTATGGGACTCATTCGTTCCGTTGGACCTAACGGGCTCTCGTAGCTACAACCGTCAACAGTACAGCTGCGCATGATATAGACAGTTCGCTATTACCGAAAGAGACAAGGGAGACTGAAAGGGCCGCTTCTCGCTTATTAGCCGTCGTCACCCATTCATACCCAACACTGAATTGTGGAACACCTGGGGCTCGAAGTCGCGACTTGTTTTTCGGAAGTCCAGCGCCTCTAACCAGTGAGCCACGAGCTCGTTCTTCAGTCGGTCTCAATCGGGAATATATAGCATTGTATATTCCCGATCGAAACCGACAGGAAAACGGGCACGTGGCGCAGTGGTTTGGGGCGTGGAATTCTAAATAACAGGTCGCAAATTCAAGCCTCGGGTGTTCCACACTTCAGTGTTGAGTATGACTGGCTGACGACGGCTGATAAGCCAGAAATGGCCATCCCAGTCTTCCTTGTATTTGTCGGTAATAACATAATGCATATATATATATATTCGAGGGAGTACGACAGAGTCTAGGGGTTGACTAACGCAGTAGGTTTCAAGTTTGCTTGCTTTCATTTAGCTAATGTTAACCCTGACTACCAGTTCGGATGGGGGACTGAAGCATGCGCCCACACACATGTGAGGTCTACCAGATGGGTCAAAAGCACTCAATCGAACCGAAGTTCATCAATGGTTCACCATCTGCAATTCTGTCTCTGTAGATCGGGTAGTAATTCAGTGAGAAATACGCGCACACCGATCCATTAGCATCCCGACGCAGACAAGCTCCGTATGGGCGGTAGCCGTTAAAAACAGGCAAACAAGCCGAGACAGTGCTGTTTCAATCTACCTCCCAGACTCTGTTGCCTCGCCTCCGCTATCGTAGTTTGACCGACTTTGGCCGGAATAGGTGGTTGCCCGCTCGTGACCTCTATCACATATACGGGGTTTCTTTGCTAAGGGAAGTCAATGAATCGGTGCGCATCCATTCCTGATTGAATATACATACATGTATAAGCGTGTAGAATAACATGAACGATGAAGTTTTTTGCCTGAATTACGGCCCGCCGTGGGGCTGCTGTTTGCATTCGAGAGAAATCTCCGAGGCACAACGTGACGAGTAAGCTCGTAACACGATCGATATACGATGCATTCATAAAAATGCATATTTTTACTATAGGCAGGAAGTGAATCTTGATTTTTGGTGCATGAATGCAGCATTTGTACCCTGCTGTTTATTAATAACTGGACATGCAGGTCACCGAGGCAGCCTGTATTATCTGATAAAAGGCATGTACAGACCCGCTGACGATTCCAAGGCAGCTGCCAATTATCTGTTGCGTGATTTGGTGTCCCGACTGACAGACTTACAGACACCACATGCCCACGTACCAAGCCCGGCCTTGAGCCGTTTTATGCATCAGCAAACCAAGCAAATGCCTTCTTTATACAGTAGATATTCTGACGTTGCATCCTTCCTACTAGCGATCGCAGACTGGTTCAAATGCTGCTGCCGGAAAGAGGTGTTGCTGTTAAAGAGTACTATACCAGGAGCAAAGTGGTTTCATACGTGGCCTAGAGATGCATGATAATGTCAGCAAGGAGAGGCGTTTTGACGGGGAGTTGGGCTGAGGTACTTTACGACAGAATTTCGCTGCAGCACAGTCGGCCTACATGGCCAATATGTTGCCATAGTATCCCGTGGTATTCTGGGCTGGTAAGGCGTATGGGGCGGATTTATTTTACGGCTCCATGCGCCAATTCTCAGATTCCGTGAATGATAGATTCGTAAGGGACTAATGAGGCCAATGTGTGATATAAAGATTTTTACTGTTTATGCATCCACATCGACACAGGAAGACAACCATGACGTCAAGGACGTGGAAATTCAGTTTCACGTGGTTTGCATGAACGGCGCTGCCATCGAAACAACTAGGGATTTTTCCATGTCGACGTAATTTTCCGCAAAATTATTAGTTGCTTCCATTATGAGTAGGATGTTCTGCAGTGGAGAGACTGCTCTGACCATCACCAACCGTCTACGGGATTTTATGTTGCCCTCTTCGTTGGCCATTCTGCTAGGCTTGGTGGTGAAGGATCACAAGTAGTTCAGAGAATGCCGGGTCTGTGTGTGTACACACGCATCCTATACCCTCATCTGGCATAGTCCGCTGGACAAGGACTTTAATTAATAGCATAGGGTTTTACCAAACATGAAATTTTGTCGCACTCCGCATACTACTGAGGGCGTCTAGATGCAGCTTTGTGCTTTAGGTTCGGCGAATCATGTCCGGACAATCGTCCGAGGTGAGCAGCAGTTGACTGCAAAGCCCGCGTTTACCACTATCCCATCCTCTGCAGGATGCTCCTATCTATTCCAGTCGTGACTGTCACATCCTGTTTGTATACCGATTAAGCATTTCCAAAAACCAAAAAATATTTGACGTAGCCGAAGTTTTCAGCAGGACTTCCTAGAGTCCCAGGCAAGAGACGAATGCCAAGGCAGGGCAAAGCAAAAGGTATTTCCACGTTCACAGATTCGCTGGAAAAACGTTACTAGTGTCTCGTCTTTGAATGGCACGGATACATATTCGAAAAGTGACGCATATGTGGCGTCATCGGTCGGTAATTGGGACCTGGAGCATATTAATTGCAGTTCCAATTGTTACACGAATATTACTCTACAAATCATTTCGCTTGCAGAGACGAGCAATGTCAAGGAAACTGGCATAATGCCGCCAAGTGGATCAACAATTTTAAAAACAACAAAAAACTTACAGCGGGTGGTCTTCCCGTAGCAGTCATTTACTGTCTAACTTTTTCGTTGCTAAAAGAAAGAGCAAACTGTCTATTTCAATATTTGAAAATGTTCATTAGTCCATCGGTGCCTTTACTACCCCACAAACATACAGTGCGTGACGAACCTAATAAAATATTCGCCGAAATACTGTAATGCGTTTTCGATTAGAAAGGATTAGTTAGGTGAGGTTGTAATTCTGCTTATCAAACGACATTATCCCATGGCATTTCAGACTCGCAAGGCTATCGGCTTTTGAACGAACTTCTTTTCTACCTGCTATAGAAAATACACTCAGTAAAAAAACAACTACTTAAGTAACATGCATTTTCCACACTGATTTTCGGGGGTCTTGTAAATTCCGATAATTTTATGGAAAAATGCACAAAAATATGCTTATTTTCATCTGTTCGGTAGAAGATAGCACTGCTGCTACATTTTTATACGCGGTAATAGCATATATTTAGGTTCTGGAAAAGTTTCCCCATTCCCCAGTAATTTCCGGCCAGATCAGCCGTCGCATTACCACTTAGCGATTAAAGTCCACAAGACGCATGCTTTCTGCATGAGAAAAGTCGTGTATTTCTCTTTGTCTTTAAGAAGATACCACGTTGAGTGCACAAAATTTTACAGTGGAAGTGGACAATGTTGTGCGTTTCACGAGGAGCATTGGTAAACGGAAATGTGCGAATCTGTCGGCATGGATATCGCACTGTCTTAAAAATCTCTTGATCATAAACTTTTTTCAAACTTAACTACGCGCCTTCCCCAGGTGTAAAATGTAAAAATATGTTACTTTCTACCAAAAATTAAAAGTAACCGTACTTTGTGCATGTTTTTCACACAAAGTATTTGAATTTATAAGATCATCGAAAATCGATGAAGAAAATGCATGCTACATAAGCGGTCATTTCTTGCTGAGTGTGGCTTCTATAGCAGGTCGAAAATGTATACGTTTAAAAGCTGACAGCCATACAAGTCTGAAATACTATGGGATTGTGTCGTTCGACAAGCAGCATTACAACCTCACCTAAGTAATCCTTCCTGATCGCAAATGCATTCCATTATTTCGGCCAATATTTCATAAGGTCGTTCACTCGCTGTATATGTTGAACAATGTAATTACTTTACATTCATATGCCACATATATGTGTGTACGACGCACTCTTTTGCCAAAAAACGCACTACATCATGCACTTATGTCACTTTTGGCAACTGGTTAATATATTGACGTCAGGTGTAGATTGTGATCTAAAGGCAACAATTTATACCTCTATTAAGGCATGCGTTACATTTTAGCGGCGTATTTTGCATGCAAATGTGCGTAAGCCGACCGGAGCTGGTATACCACCGATAGTCATATGCCAAAATCTATGAATCCATACTGACTAAAACGTATTTACCAGGAGTAGTCTCTTAATGTCCAAATTTTTATTTTTCAGCTGGAGGACACTCCAGACTGCCAATATGATTACTTGAAAATCTTTGATGGTCCATCGGACTCTTCGCCCCTCCTTCGGACGAGTTGTGGGACTCAAATACCAGCAGACATCAGTTCGACAGGCAATACAATGACGGTTGTTTTTGGCACAGACGAATTCGGTCACAAAACGGGATTCAGAGCACGGTTTGAAAAGGGTAGGTCTTTCTTATGCACAAGAGTTCGCCGATGCCGTAAACGCGCTTTTCGGTATTATCGAAGCAACAGATTAGCAAAATTTAAAATTATAGACTAATATGCAGTTTTGGACTATAACGAAGAGCATCCAGAAGTGTATTAAAGAAATTCCATCCACTCGTGGATTGTTCAGGTTTTACCAACGCATTAAAGTGTTACGTGTTAGTTAAACCCGAAAGCTGCGCAAATAAATACGAATATGTGCATGAGTTCATGACTGCGACACCTCGATTAAATAAGAAGAGATTTCACAGGATTGGGGACTTTGCTGGCTGACGTTTCGAAGAGCTGGGGCTGCTTTCCATTGTCAAGGTGTCAAGTGAAAAGAATCGATCATAATTTTTGAATAGACTGCCGGATTAGCTGACCTTGGCCTGATCGACTTTCTTCTCCTCTCACTGCCTTGGCCTACTGGCCGTCGCTTGTGAGTGTTGACGGCCTCCTGTATTACGTGTCGTCACCTAAACTGGGGTTAGTTGCGTTTGCGTTCCCCTTTTGGATGAAGTGGTCGACAGCCCGTGTTTGCTCGGTATTCTTAGGCTCCGTCTTGTCTTCGTCACTGTGTATGTAGTGACGTAGGACTTTAGAGGCCGAAGGAAGGTCTAGATGCCTGTTGAGAGAGTTGCTATCTGAGTACCAAGCCTCGAGTGTGAGACGCTCAGACCTTGAGGTGTCCCTGTCTAAGACTGTCGCTACTTGAAAATCAAAACTGCCAACAGTTTCCCCGATGTAAGCCGCAAAGTGTGAGTTTGGGTCTAGTCTCTGAGTTGCCATTTTGTGCTCATGTAGGCGGATCTGCATTTTCCGTCCTTTTTTCCCAACGTAGCTGCCGTCTCTATCCTTACAATGTTTTTGATAGACAACTGCTGAGGCATTAATGGGTGGCAGTATGTTTTTGGGTTGCAACAAAAGGCGACGAACTGTTGCCTGTGGTCGATGGGGCAGTTGCAACAGTCTTGAAACCGCCTCGGCGATTCCTTTAATGTAAGGAATAGCCCTCCAGACTTCAGGTCATTCTTGTGGCCGCCGTCCGTTCACTCGGCGCTTGCTTTGCTTGATGAAGTGGCTTGGGTATCCATTGGGTCAAAAGAGATCATGAAGGCATTGTCGTTCAACTCTTTTGTCAGCTGGTGCACTGCAATGTGTTTCAATTTATTTGGAACAGAGTACGGACACAGCTGCGTTTGTGACAGAGGGGGTGAATCCCGTTGACCTGCAGTATTTGTCTTGTGTTGGTGGCTTTTTTGAAAACGGTAGTTTGTAATTGTCCGGTTGCACACCGACGCACAAGGACATCGAGGAAGGGCAGTTGGTTGTTTATTTCGGCTTCCATCGTGAATTGGATGTTCCGGTCAACCGAGTTCCGTAATTCTTTAAGTTGCTCCACGTCGGATTACTTGACAATGGCGAAGGTGTCATTGACGTAATGAGCCCAGAACTTTGGTTGATAGTAGGTGAACACTAAGTGTTCTCTCCGTTGAAGAACCACTTCGGCAATCAGCCTGAAAAGTGAAGTGAATAGTTAAAAAAACCAAATAAATTAATTTAGTCGTTTGACATTTTGCTAAATATAAACCAAAATCTCACAGAGTCCCGTAGAAACTGCAAAACCTAATTTATCATAGGAATTACTGCATAATCTGATTGTTCCAGTCGGAGAAACTGGTAGAGTGCTCCGAACGGGAATTGCCGAGCACGCGGCAACGGTGCGGAGAGTGACGCCAAAGCTCAGGTCGCGGCACATTCGACGAGACCCTGCCACACATTCAAGTCCGATGCATTCGAAATTCTCGCAAGTGGGGATAATTGCGTGAGCCGCGAGTTGCTTAAATCATGGTTCACGGGACCTCAGTCTATCGACAAGTGCAACGACATCCCCACTCCATATTCCGTGTTGAGGCATAGACTGGCCAAAGTAAGTGACCACTGGGGGGACGCGCAAGCCGGTGAGCCAGATAGTCGAGCAATCATCACGCCAGCATTCAACACGCGTGGTGAGATTTCAGCAGTTAACATCTTGCATGCCGGCCATCAAGGAGTTAACGCACCAACGGGCAACAATCCTTGATGAAGGGAAGCGTGGTTAATTATTATAGGTATGCGGCAGCATATCGACGGTATTCTATAAATACTGCAATTTCCTGTGAACGAGTCGCACTTTTCTGCTATTTCCTCTGAGAATGAGTTTAAATGAGGCTCTGAAACCTCAGGCGAATGAAGTTTTTGTTCCAGCGATCGCTTCTTCTTTTTGTCAACTAGTTCCTGGAACTCGCATTTCCGCTTGTATCTGTTCCATTTATTCCATCAATTCAGCACTTTTTCCGAGCATACGGGCATTGTCAAGTGTTTGGTCGGACAGTTAATGAAAGGCCAACAGAATCACTGTTGAGCATTCCAATTTTGAAAGGCCGCCCCTAGTCTGTTACTTATTCCTTCGCAGTACTTACAGTGGTTGCCACCCTCAAAGCAGACTCAGCACCCCGCTTGCAGTTGGTGCGGTCGAGCTACTGCATTCATATCTGCCATTTGCGGTTGGCGCAACTATGTTGGAAAGAGGGAGATGTGGTTATGTAGCCCCACCTAATGGACACAAAACCGTTGATGTTAGGGTTAGGAGTTATGGATAGGGGTTACATTTAAAGCGTAGGGGTTAGGGCAACTATCTCTCAACCACTCAAAGTACAATCGCTCATCCCCAATGGCTTTTTCTTTGCATACAATTACTTGACGTTGTCGCCTGTGGGTTCCCCTGCACCACCTGTAAAAGCCCCTATTACCACCGGTCCCGTATTACAGATGACTGAGGTTTGTTTACTTCAGGTGGAGCTATACAACCACGTCTGACCGAAAAAGCAGTTAAAAACTGCGGGCGCAAATACATAACACTAGCCAAACGCTCTGATATTAGTTTGGAGGTCGGAGATAACGATTCGTGCTGCGCAGTTGAGGCATAGCCTTTATTTTACCACGGTCACTATTGTCCGTTAAAAAAAGATCGTAAATTATTACAGAAATTTGTTAACTCTTAGCAACCAATTAGGGCACGGGCTAAAAACACCACAGTTATAAAGTGTCAAATTACCCTTTAGACATCAGTAAAAGTCGCGTGTAGTCAGAGCTCCAAAGGGCGACCGCCTCTTGACCTGAGAGCGCATAAGTTCGATAAGGGAGATGCAACACGAATGAATGTCTCATGTTTGAGTCAGTTTTATGTGTCGATTGGGTAATTTCTTAGTTGGTGAGCTCCTGTGATTGTCCATCTTCGAGGCTGCACGCACTTATTGCTCGGCCGTCTGAAAACCGTGACTTCTAGCGCGATGCAAATGGCAGACGCGGAAGTTTTATTTTATTGCATGTCATATACTTGTCTCTGTGAATGTAAATGTGCAGAGAATGTCAGTACTTAACACTGACTGGATTGGCAATCATTGCTAAGGTCGATTAGAAGAAATCGCTGTTTAACTCGCCAACATTCAAATACATTCCTGTCTGTAGATGTCTCAACTTGTCTTTAAATATATATTTCGGCATAGATCTAGTTCAGCATTAAATACGGTAACTTGCTCATTCAAGCCTACTGCTGTTTTTATTCATGCGTATGCTTCCTGTATCGTTTGCCTGTTCGCCAGTATTATCTGCTTTGGAAAAGTCGTTAAGTATGGGCTCTAGCAACAACTAAAATCTCATTTATTTGAGAAATTCCGAGTACCAGTACTTTTTGTTAAATACTTCACGGCATCTCAATCATTTGTATACAGTAGGATCTCAAGTCTCCTCAAAATCTTTTCAGGTATAGGAATTAATTATGACACCTAGTTAATTCTCATGGTTGTATCATGCAGGCTCCTACTGCAATTTGCTAGGAACGCATTACGCTTTGAGTGATCCATAACATTTTTATTTTAGGGTCACCCATTATGAAGGATTCTGGATTGGTGCACCGGCAATGATGATATTCGGATACCAAGCAATGGACACTTTGAAAAATCAAAATCGGCGTAGGATTTTACTGTGCAAACTGACTGTCAGATTGCATAATTGGGTGATGGTTGGATTGGGTAGTATACTTCACGAAGTTTTAATTCATAATTTTCTAACTATGCTGAAATAAACTGTGGGCTAGTACTTAGTACATATTATTTTAATTGCCAGCACCGATAATAGAGTTTTAGCTAGATACAAAGTAATAAGTTTCCATAATCTATGTAAATTTCGTGCGATACAAAACCTACGACCTGCTTGAGTATGTATTGGTCACTATATTTAGCAAATGATTTTGCTGATCCTGTTTCTACAGAGGATGCGAGGGAATTAAGTATGACACCAAATAAAACAGCGGAGACCTAAAAACTCATTTCTAGCTGTCCAGTCATAAATCACGTTCAGATTACGAAGGTCGAATGACCCTAGAAAATTTTTCTGATTAAGGGCTATGTTATTCCTCAGCTAACTAGGCGTGGGCCAGCCTCACGACGTCTACAACTGGGACGGTCTAGTATCGTGAATAAGCGATGATTTCTGACACATTCGGTACAAAACTCAGTGAGGTTTTCAGTCTCCATCATATGTGATCTAAAACACAGTATGGTTAGCAGCGGCAAAATTCATCGTCGCTTTCAATAATCTTCAAGTGCCTGATGCCGAACTTTCACATGACAGTTTTATTAAGGACGGGATACTTTAGAACAACGAGCACGTAGAAATGACGTCAACCTGTTTGCAGACATGCGAGGCTTCAGTTTCTAAGAGGTGCGCAAAGATCGCCATGCCTATCAGCACATGAGTCACATGTGAGTGAAAACCTAAGTCGTGCGAAAGTTTATTGGTACATTCCATTAAAAACGCAGACGATAGAATCAGAATACAATGAGTACAATGAGTTCACGACAATACGAAGATTCAAAAAAACAAATGCTACTGAAATATATACAGTAGTATTAACCAGTGACCGTTAAAAAGCTCGGAGAGGGGAATGATGACAGCCAGGTTACATTATGATGAGTAGTGGCATAGTCGTGTAACTGCCGATTAAACGCCTCGAAGGATATGGACATAACAGCATCCCCCGGCAGAGGATTCCAGGTTGCAAAAACTCCGTTGGAGGAACGCAAATTGCGTAAATCCATCCTGGGGTCAGCCACGCGTGGTTGGAGCAGACGACGTCGGAAAATTTTCCCGAACCCAGCTGGCTGATGAACAGTAACAAGTTCGATCAAATGAACTAGATCAGGACTACCGGACTCCGTCTTAAAGACCTGCAGTAGGATTGGCTGTCCACGATTATAAGGCTCAAAATACTCATTTAGACATCCGATACATTAATTGCTTTTCTTTGCAATTCCGCTGCATCTTTCGTGAAAAGAACCATTACATTTATTTGCAAGAAGACAAAATACCAAGGCAAGTCTCATTGTCGCTTTGAGAGACAGGTAAACAGGTTTCCGGGACTCGGGCTTCGTATTTCGTTAACGTTGCTTTGACGATACAAAAAAAAGTCAGAAATGTATAATAAGTTTGAACCCATCGTTTTTTTAAAAAGAAAGTCAGGGTTCTATAGTATATCTTTATTTATGATGCCTCCTTGTTCAAGTCTTCCCGTGGAGGATAATATAACAGTAATTTAATCGGGAAAAATCTTGACAAAAGTTAGATTTTTAAAACCATAATGTGCTGGGCATACCCGACATTTGCTTGTTGTATATGTCGTCCATGTCAGTATCGTGATCCAGAATCTTCCATAATGGTTAATCCTAGAAAAGTGTAAAGCGGTTCATCCCCCGCGCAATTAAGTCACAGTTCCCATATATCAGACGAGAAAATAAACCAAATTTCCCATAAAGCGATGGATATTTGCTTTAAATATTACAATTTCCTTCGGTATATGTGGAAGTGAGACTCCTCTTTAGTCAAATGACTGAGGTATTTTCAAGCATATTGTGGAAAGGACAGCTATACGAAAGCCTCAAAAGCGACCATATAGTGGTTGTTAAAACACCTATTTAATTATTCTCAGAAAATATTTTTTTCTTTTTACGAAACAGACAAACAATCCTGAAAAAGGGGTGTGTGAAAAAGTTATGCCAATGCTTGGGTGAATAAGTCGATTGTTGCAGTGCATGTCCTGGCAGGGATGTGGTCCCAGCTAAGCCAAGAAAAAACAACTAGGTTTTTAGCCGTGGATAAGGCTATGGTTAGGTTAGAGTTCAGGTGAGTTAAAGAGTCGAGGTAGAGCGTTAGAATTAAATTTAGGGCTAAATTTTAATTGCATGTTTTGATAACCTCTTATTTATTACTCGCAGGTCCGTAATTCGCATCTGTCAGATTGCGCAGTCTGTTCCCACACCTCATTAGAATAGCATAAGGGATAAGTGGCAAAAAATGTCTTTTTATAGTGAATTCTGTTGATTTCATTTTCTGTCACGTCCGCCTGCCCTACTGATGAAAGGGATATTGCCATCCTTCCCGTATTTCAAGGAATCCTAGCGCTCTATTTTTTCAGTGTCCTCGCATATTCAGTCGTTGTTAAAATTACTACCTGAGGCAAGATAACTGTCAGAGAGGGTCGTTCATTCATTTTTCAGGGCAAAATTTCGCCTTCATCTGGTCAGGCTAATTGACAAAAATTAACACTAAATACTATTGCTAAAAACAGTTAATAACAACGAGAAATCGGACTTTCGGAGAAATACAATTTTTTGCCCAGAAACCAAAATTTCACACTGCGGACTCCAGTGCACATCGAACAGACGTCGCCGTACTTGGTCACTGAAGATGTTACTATATAACACACATACGAAGCAGACGACGCTTATATGAATTTTCTGACGTCAAAAATCTACATTTGCATTTATTCCACAGAAACATATTCTCAACAACACATCTGGACCAAGGAAATGACAGACATTGAAGAATAACATGGACTCTCCGGAACAGGTTCATTTAGATGCTGACGTTTAAAAGATCTTAATAGGCTCTGCATTGTCAAAGCGTGAAATGCACTTAATCGATCAGAAATTTCAAGTAGCATGTCTTTGGTCGGCCTCATGCTGATCGACTTTCCTCTCCTCTCGCTGCCTCGACCGACATTTTCCGGCGAGTCCATCTTCTTCTTCTTCAATCATCGGTCCCGATCTCTCAACTTTGCCAATGGGAATGGCAGATGTCGACGTAATCAAGACAGATATGATTTACAGCACACAAGCACACACACGTATAAAAAGACAAAATAAAAGTCATGGGCCGGAAAAAAATAGAGCAGAGACAGGTAATACTATCTGGAACCAAAAGTCCTTTCGTTGGACATTTTCGAAACCTCTGTACATTCCCGTCATGTACAGGTCGTTTACTTTTCAGCCATTATAATTAAGAATGTGTATCGATGTCTAAAACATTGCGCCGTTAGGCTTCCACTTCAACTAGTTATAAACTTTCGGAATTGACCTTCATGCGCGTGTATGTGGCATCAGATTGACCTGCTTACTGATACATATCAGCTCCCGAGCAATGCTTGCAGGAACTCGCGATATTTCATTGGTTAATAGGATTCATAAATGCGACTAACTGCCCAACGTAAAAATGACCGTTTATTATTTAAGGATTTATCCTATCACTACTAGCGGGTGCTCCTATACACGAGAGGTAGCGTCAGCTAAAACAACTTTAGTTTATGGTCTACTATTGCCTTATTCGCTGATGCGCTAACTAAATATCGCACAAGTGTTACGGGGATGAATTTAAAAGAGCATGTTCAAAGACATGTAGGAATGACCGTTATGATTGTTAATCAACTGCATGGGACTGCGGATGCATAAGTAATACGATCTGATACTTCCTGACAACTATACATGTCCAATCAGCATAGAGCGGTCATAAGTGCGAGATTTCTGTGAAAACGACTAACGCCTGAAATAAAAGGTTATCAATAAATATTACAATGCTGGTTGCTTTACTACATTACGCATACATTTGACAGCAAACGTTAGTTAGTTTCCAATGAATTAGGCGGCCACAACATTTTCTTACGAAATGCACAAATCTTACTAGTATGTTAGCCTATGTCCTCTAAATGGGCATTTTGTCCGGCATCATAAACGGGGTAAAAATAGATGATATGTCCAAATGTGGACGATACATCGAACAAGGGAACGACAGGTTATCTTCTTATTTTTGTCTAACTCGGATTTGAATTTTCCCAGGTTGCCTTGGGGACTGCAATTTATATCCAACCAAATGTAAATTTACAAACTAATTCTATGACCTTTCCTTTACTCTAGCCTTCATCGACTTGAGGCCTGCATATATACATTTAGGAACCATGGGTTTGCATTAGCATGAGTTAGGTTTAGAAACAGCAGACGAAAGACTTCTTGGTAAATAAAATGACTATAAGCCTTTTCGATCGTTGTGTTCATGACCATTTCCACTGGAGTGCCTGAACACCAGGGTATTCTAAAAACCGCTGCTCTGACTTAAAACAATTTCCAACCAAATTTTCTACCATGTCCATGCTCTTCTATTTGTATGATCCCCTCTGTCAACAATGTTGATCAAACCGCTTCATCCACAGTCTTTCTACAAAAACCTACATTTTGTATCACCAGTTTTAGGTGTCTGGATTTTTCTAAGTTTGTGGTCAGACTGTGATAGAAACTCTTCCTTGCATTTTCTACGCTTTGGGTTATTTGCATAATCAGATGTTTTTCGGGTATCCATCTGTTGTTTTTTTAATACAAAACTCCTGGGTTATTGTAAGCATTGCTTATGCCAGTTATGGAGTCGACACATCCCTCTTACTAGAAGTGTATTGTTCATACACTAATTAAATTTTTCTGGGGACGAAACATGCGCTTCCGGCTTCGGAGGAAGTGCTGCGAAACAAGGTTTTTATAATGGTTTCTTCGACATTTATAAGTTGACATCATCAGTAGCGCAGATTACGGTAAACACGAAT